ACCCCTCCAACCCCTCTGGAGTGCCCAGGGACCCTGGAGAAATCCTCAGAGTTCAGCCTTGCCGTTCCTCTTTCTCTGCTCGTTTTCATCTGCTCCGTCTGCTCGCCCTCTTCGATGCTGCTGCTGCTGCTCCTCCTCCTCGTCGTCTTTTTATCGTCATCGTCATCGTCGTCATCATCGCGATCATCATCGTCGCTATCCTCCCTGATCTACTAACACCTTCTGGTCGACCCCCCCACGGTTGGCCCAACTGCCATTCCTACTGCATCGCGGCGGCCATGGGGCTTCCTGTGGCCCAAATGCGCATTAGATCTTAATATGAATCTGAGTGGGTCTGAGTGTGAGTCTTCAGATGAGGGATTCTGAGTGTGATATAGACTGTGTGTGATTGGGCCTGCGTATGAGTGGCCCTGATATCAGTGAGTCTGAATAGGAATTGGTCTGAAGTATGAACGCGTACGTGTGTAGCTGATTCTGACTGTGGATGGTCCATGGGTGAGTGAGCCTGAGTAGGTGCGAGTGAGTGAGTCTGTGTGCAAGTGAGTCTATGTCTGAGTGGTCTGTGTGTGAACGGGTCTGACTATTGGAGGCAGGAAGGAGGCGACGGGAAGGAGGAAGGAGGAGGCGGTCTCGGCAGATTAATGACAAGGACCCCGTACTCGCTTCGAACAATTTGTCTGTTTGAGACTTCGATTGGAGCCTCTGATGGCCTCCCATGTCACCTCCCGGGGGCCTCGGCGAGACTGCCGGGGCGTGCCCGGGCCGTCTTGAAAACGCCTCAAGGTGCCTCAGACGCCTGCCCGGAGGCGGGGCCGAAGGCATGAGCTGCGAGAAACAGGCGGCGCTGGGCCCAAGACCCCTCAGGACGCCCAGAGGAGGCCAACATCATGGAGAAACTGCTGGCAGGTCTTGCACGTGCTGCCCCTAGCCTTTCAGAAGAGGTGATGTTTGGCTCCAGCTTCGTCTCGCGCAGCTCACTGAGTAATGACAGTGCCAGCTTCCACAGTCCGCCGTTCACGCATGCGGCGAGTCCAACTGCGTAGCTGATGACGTTTGGCTCCAGCTTCATGTGCTGTATATCGTTAAGGAAACGCACCGCCTTCTGCCACTGTCCACCTCTATGGCACGCGCTGGCCACAGCATTGTAGCTAATGACGTTGGGCATTAAGTTCGCCGTCCCTATCTCATCAAACAATGTCATTGCATGCTGCCACCGTCCACATTTTTCGCATGCGCTTATTGCAGCGTTGTAGCTAATGTTGTTAGGCTCCAGACTCGCCTTCCACATGCCCCTAAGCAGTGACAGAGCCTGCTGCCACTGTGCACCTTTCTCGCACGCGCTGACTCCAGCACTGAAACTGATGACTGTGGATTCAGTCTTAGCTTCGCGCATCGCTGCAAGTAGTAGCAACGCCTGCTGCCACTGTCCACCTTTCTCGCACGCGCTGACTCCAGCGTTGTAGCTAATCGTGCTGAGTTCCACCTTCTTCTCCCGCATCTCGCTGAGCAAGGATAGCGCCTGCTGCCACTGCTCACCTTTCTCGCATGCGCTGACTCCAGCGTTGTAGCTCACCGCATCGGGCTCGATCTTCGCCCGGCGCAGTTCGCTTAAAAGCGACAGGGCCTGCTTCCACTGCGTACCTTTCTCGCACGCGCTTATTACAGCATTGTAGCTGATAAGGTCGGCTTCGAGTCTCGCCTGGACCAATTCACTGAACAACGACAGCGCGAGATGCCATTGCTCGCCGTTTCCGCATGCACTGATTCCAGCACTGCAGCTGATTACATCAGGCTCCAGCCTCGCTCCACGCAGTTCGCTGAGTAGCGACAGCGCGTGCCGCCACTGCTCGCCTTTCTCGCACGCGCTAATCGCAGCATTGTGGCTGATGACGTCGGGCTCCAGCTTCGCATCCTGCAGATCGCAGAACAAGGACAGCGCCTGCTGCCACTGACCGCCCTTTCCACACGCGCTGATTCCAGCGTTGTAGGAGGTGACTTCAGTCTCCAGCTTGGCCTCGAACAAGTTGCCGAGCAACGACAAAGCGTGCTGCCACTGCCCGCGCTTCTCGCATGCGCTGATTGCGGCGTTGTAGCTGAGGACGTCGGCATTGGGCTCCAACGCCGACTCCTGCAACTCCGTGAATAACGACAACGCCTGCTGCCATTGACCTCCACTTTGGCACGCGCAGATCCCAGCGTTGTAGCTGACAGCGCTGGGCTGCACCTGCGCCTCGCGCAACTTGCCGAACAACCAGAGCGCCTGCCGCCACTCCCCGCCTTTCGCGCACGCACTGATCCCGGCGTTGTAGCTGATGACATCTGGCTCTACATTCGCATCCCGAAGCTCGACGAACAGCAACAACAGTGCCTGCTGCCACGCCCCGCCTTTCTCGCACGCGCTGATTCCAGCGTTGTAGCTGACCAAGGCCGTCCCGCGGAACCCGTCCACGAGGCTCGCGCAGCGTTTCCAGCGCATGCTGCCGCTTCACTAGCCCTCTACCACGATCTTAAGGGGTAGTTTGTGTGTGCCCGTGTCTCCTGGGCGGACTGCTCAGGAATATGGTGCTCCAAGGTTGCCAGAACGGGAACGGGAATCGTCGGTGCGGGGATCTCTCTGACATTCTTGGGGTCCTCTCCAAAGATCATGGGAGCATCATGGGCATTCCAGTGGCCATGAGATGGAGCGGGTAGAGATGTTGTGGGGGGTACCTTTCGAGCTATATGGGACAATATTGGAGCTCTCTACGGGTCTTGTGGGACGATGTTGGGCCCTTGTATGGCTCTCGTGGAAACTGTCCAGTCCATTCTGAGACTCCTGGGGCCTCGCGGGGCCATTCTGGGATTACCAAGCTCGCTCTAGGCTTAAAAAGTACCTAAAGCCATCTTTGAGGATGTAACGGCTGTCGGAAAAATACCCAAGGCTGTGAACCTGCGAGGTACAGGAGAGTAATATTGTTAGAACTCAATATTACGTCAAGGGCAGGCCACGGCCTCAAAGTAATAGGCATGGCAAAAATCTATCGGCTGGTGGCCGACGCTACGTGGAAGTGGAGTACCCAAAAGCACCTATGCTCTTGAGAGAGCTGGTCACGGTGATCCCTGCGATTTCGGCCATACTTCGGGATCTGGTTCCCGAGACTCTAACGGAGATTGAGAATCACCACATCTCCAGCCAAAACCACCCGCTTCAAATGTCACGGGGCCGGCACGGCGCATCGATTCCGAGACAGTTTCGCTGGGCGCTTGGTCAAAGGTGCCGCTCTCCTCTGATGTTCCAACACCTGTCAAGGCCACGTCATCGAGCGGCGCGAGCGACAAATGCACCGCTTTTACCGCCGGGCTGGTATCTGGCCCTCCAGACTGCTGCGGAATCCCTTCAGAGCAGGCGGGTCAGCTTGCGCCCGTTGGAATGCTCTAGGTAATCGCGCGACAGGAAGAGGCGGGTTTAGGGGCGCCCATGCGGGCGCTCCGAGAGTGCATGCGACGACGACGTACACGGGATAGCGAAGGCGGGCCGCGTAATCGATCTCGCCTGGCTGCTGAGAATATGCAAGTGGCAAACTGCAGGGGAGGAGCTAGCTACCAAATGGCAGGCCGGCCCCAGAGGCTACAGGGAAGCTGGAAAGTTGAAGTTGGAACACCAGTGAAAGTGGAAGTGGCCAGGGCTGGGAACAGTGGCAGGGGGTGAAGCGAGCCCGAAACAGTAGGGATGCGGTCGCCAGGGCTGAAACAAAAAGAAACTGGCCAGGGCTGGAAAGAGTGGAAGGGCTGGTCCCAATCATTTGTTCCAGGTTCCATGCAACAAACGACAAACCGCGGGGGCTAACGGGTGACAGGCCAGCCCAGGGGGACCTCTTGAACTCAAGGCGATCAAAAAGTGGAACCTGCTGGCAGTTACTCGGCTTGCGGAAGACGACTGCCCGCCCTGCAGTCCCGTTCGTGAGCGATGAACCCCTGAGGCTGGCAGGCTACATTTGGCGGCGAGCGAGGGGGGAACTGAGAAGGAGACGGCTCTCTCAAAAGGCTCGGACGCCCCCTCGCCTTCTGAGAAGCTTTCTGAGCCTTCCCCGAGGACAGAAGACACACTTCTCAGCAGGCGCGATGCCTTCTGAGAAGCCACGCCGCCTTCTGCGAAGGCACTCCCTTCCCCGATCCGTCGTGGGGGACCCCCCCCCCCCTCCCCCCCTTCCCCGATCCGTCGTCGGGGACCTCCCCCCCCTCCCCCCCTTTCCCCGACCCGTCGTCGGGACCCCCCCCCCCCCCCTCCCTTCCTTTCAAAGGGGGGGGGGGGTCCGACCCCCCCCCCCCTCCCCCCCTTTCGCCACGCCTCCTCACTTCCCCCCCCCCCCCCCCTCGCTCGCCGCCGATGCGTGCCCCCCGGGCGGGGGGGGGGCTTGCCGAGTGGCAGGCCTCCCCAGGCTGGCCACGGGCCGTAGGCTCCGACGCTCCTCTGGCGCACGGCCGCCGGCTCCTCTGGCGCACACGCCGGGGCCGACCGCGGCCCCCCCTGCGGTCGGCTTCCCGGGCCCCCTGGAGCCATGCGCGGAGGCTGCTCGAACTCGAGCTCTGTGGCTATAGGCGAGCCTCTGGGCCCGCCCCTTCCCGGCCCCTCGCGCAGGACCTTGGGCAGGCGCCGCGGCTGCGCGCGGTCGGGCACACCTACAGTCGGGGCGTTGACCCAAGGAACCCTAAATAAGGAACGGGGCCCCTTTTTTCCATACGTTAAACTTCGATTTCCGATCGAAAACATAAGGAAAACCTGAGGCAAGCTGTGAAACACTTAAGGAACGCGGAGCCCCTCCCCAACCGAAAGGGTTCCTTCTTCAGGGCCCCGACTGTAGGCGGAGGTGGGGTGAGGCAATCGGGGCACGGGCTTTGGCGGCGGGGAGGCCGGGGAGGCTGGGGAGGCTCGGTGCCAGGGCTCAGGTCCCCTTCGGCCTGGCGCCCCCCCCCCGAGTAGGCTCCAAACCTCCGCAGGCCGGCCCCGCACCCCAGGGGCCTTCTTGTGCGAAGGGAGAACGAAGCACCATCCTTACTGTGCGGGTTGACAGCGCCGAACACGCACGAGGTCCCCCCGGGGGTGTTGGACAGTTTTTCCCCTCGTGGGCGACCTGTGCGCAGCCACGGTGGCTCTGCACAGGCCCCCCCACGGGGGGGCCCTTTGGGGGGGGGGCCCCACCGGCGCCCCCTTGGGACGCCCGGGGGCGTCTGGAGCCCTCCTGAGGGCCTACAGTCGGGGCCCTGAAGAAGGAACCCTTTTCGTTGGGGAGGGGCTCGGTGTTCCTTGATTGGGCTGCAGTTTGCCTTCTGTTTTCCTGAGGTTTTCCATGGGAAATCGAAGTTCAACATATGGGAGAAAGGGGCCCCGTTCCTTATTTACAGTTCCTTATGTCAACGCCCCGACTGTATGTGGCAGCCGTGGGCGCCTCCCAGCAGAGGGGCTCTCTCTCGGACCGCGCGCCCCTCCTCGGCGGGCTCCGAAGGGCCGCTGGGAGCGTCCGCGGGCCGCCCGGAGGCGCTCTGGGGCCCGCTCGGCCGTTTGGGGCGATCACTTCAGGAGAGATGACGACGTCGGGCTCCATCCTTATCTTCCGCATCCTGCTGACCAGCGACAGTGCCTGTTGCCACTGTCCACCTTTCTCGCACGCACTGGTGGCAGCATTGTGGCTGACTAGTGTTGAGCCGAAGCCAAGACAAGAACAACATTGGACCAAGACGTATCGGGAATCTCTGAGATCCGGCGACTCTGGAAGATGCATGGGGCGCCGCGACCTTCTCAGAGCATGTCAGAAAGTTCTGCGACGGTTCCGGGACTCTCTGGAACGATTTATTCCTGTCCTGCCCCGCCCAGGAGGTGAGCCCATAGGATTGAATATGTACATGTGGCAAGCGTATCGATGGGTTCGGCCCGGCTCCTTCCTCCCTGCCAGCCTCGCCTCCCTCCTCCCCCCTCGCTCGTGCAGGGTGGCTGGCTAATGCCGCGGTGTTTGTTCTGGCCGCTGGGCCGGGCGGGAACTGCCCAGACTGTCTCTGAGCTTTCACCTCCACGCTTCTGGCCCAAAAGGCCAGACGGTGCTGCGGAGCACGACAGGAGGAGGAGGAGGAGGAGGAGGAGGAGGAGGAGGAGGAGGAGGAGGAGGAGGAGGAGGAGGGGGAGGAGGGGGAGGAGGGGGCTGGGGAGGGGGGAGAGGGGAGGGGAGGGGAGGGGGATGGGGGAGGGGGAGAAAAGGGGGGGGCGGGGAAGGGGGGGGGCAAGCTAGGTGCGCTCGCGTCATATCTGACGTCCTACCCCTCCCTGCTATCCCGCACCATGGAGTAGGTATCCTCTCTATTCGCATTGTCGGATGTCGAGCAAGGCAATGATTGCGAGAGGGTACGCGATGCATGGTAGAGCACGGCATGGCATGGCGTAGAAAAGCACGGCACAGCATAGCATGCCATAACATGGCGTTGCATTGCGCAGTGGAGCATTGCATCACAAAGCGTTACAACGCAAAATATGGCATCGCACAACGGCGCATAACATAACACCGCACAGCATGTCATGGCACTGCGCCAAGTTCTTTGTAGGGAAATTAAGTGGATAGTCTTCGAGAGGTCTGGGCCGGTCTGGAGTCGTGGCTGATGGAGAGCACCCGCTGGCTCTGCTTTCAACATCGCCTTCTCAAAGCAGAAACGGGGCTCCCGCTTGAGACTTCCTGAAAGCGACGACGCCCCAAAGTGTGGGGTGGGGGGGGGCTTCTGCGGCCCAAAACAGCAACGAATCGACACCGAATGTGCAATCACTTCCGATGGTTTTTGAAGGGGGCATTTTCTAGATTTTTGAAGCTATTTGGAAGGAAGGCCAGCGCTGCAGCGGGAGCACGATTCGGCACGAGCGGAAGCCAAGAAATGAGGCCACCGCTGGCGCGGGAGCACGATCTGGAACGAGCGGAAACCCGAATATGAGGCCAGCGCCTTAGCGGGAGCAACATTTCGAAACAAAACCCAAGCGAAAACCCAATTCCCTGGGAATCCTGGGTGCAAACAATATCCGGCCCCCCTCCGCGCACTGTTTTCTTAGAAGAGAATGCGCGGAGGGGGGCCGGATATCTTCCGGACGTCATCAGGGGAGAGAGGAGAGTCGTATTCATATGGTGTAACTGTGGAAGGGGAGGGGGGGGAGGGGGAGGGCAAGGGGGAGGGGGAGGGGAAGGGGGAGGGGGATGGGGAGAGGGGAGGGGGATGGGGATGGGGAGGGGAAGGGAGAGGGGAGAGGGGGAGAGGACAAGCTAGGTGCGCTCGCGTCATATCTGACGTCCTACCCCTCCCTCCCATCCCTTACCATGGCGCTGATTTTCTCTATCCGCGGACGCGTGTCGTAGCGGACCTGTGGCTCCGCGCGCGCGTGCGTAGTGGGTGGTGGTGCACGTGCGTGCGTGCGTGCGTGCGTGTGTGCGTGGTGGTGTGGTGGTGGTGGTGGTGGTGGTGGTGGTGGTGGTGGTGGTGGTGGTGGTGGTG